CCTCGGCATTTTCTGCTTTTCTTCAATAAACCAAAATAAACTAGATATTACAAAAATCAATGATTAATCAAAACAAGACTCATTTTTAGTTATCAAAAGCATTTATGACATCAGCCTACTATGTTAAAATGTTCTGCAATGCATTGGGGTTGTCTAATGATGACATCAGTCATCAGACATCAGGTACAGTAGCTGGTACTGTAGACTGGCGCGAAACTTCTTACTATGTTTTCTATATTTTTGTTATTTTTTAAATTTAATAAAGTAATTTTATTATTTATTTATTATTTATATTTATTACAAAGTATATTATATTAAAATAAATCAATAAACTATTATGTTTGCTAGTAGCGCTATCTGCTTCTGTATCAACAAAGCATATGTTGTTTACTTCTGACAGACCCATCAGAGTCAGATTAAACATTAAATATCAATAAAATATAAATTCGATATTTGCTCATTACTGTGATAGTAAATTAAATTATTATATAAAATAAATAAAATGTATTAAAATAAAATTTGATTATACATAATTTGAAAGGATTTATTAACAACTAACTTGAAAAAATATATGATGACTAGAAAGACTGTTATTTCGTGAACCTATTTGGGACGCTGTCTCGTGGCGCTCTTTCAGTGACGCTCGCCTCAGCATTTTACTATAAAGTAAAACTTATGCAACGCCAGTATAGAAGCTTATAGAAGCAATAGAGAAACGTTTCAGGAAATTGCAAACATGATAACGGCCAAAGTCTGAATATGGACATGACGCTTAAAGAAGAAGATAGAAGCTCAGTAAGATATTTAGTAGCCATAAAAAGCATTTTGTAATGTTACATTACAATTTTTGAGTTGTTTTTATCAAATTCAACTATTAATTATGGTTATCTATAGGTATTCAGTACTTTATTGCACAAATATATTACAACTAAGAATTATTATGCAAATAATTAATAAAATGTGATTATCTCGAAAACTATTTAGTTTTAAAGTTATTAACAGGTATACCTGTTTTGTGTTAATATAATGGATCTTTAATATATTTTTAACAAAAATAGCACTAACTTGAAGAGCAAATAAGTTAGGTGCAAATTTATGCCACATATGTGGCGCCCTTTATCAGCTACATCAAAATGTGCATCAAATTATAATTTCTCATACTCAAGAGCACCCAGTTGTAAATTTTTATACATAAATGTTTACAAACATAAAAGTTATAGTGAAAAATAAAAATTTAAATTTCCACTTTAACACCCTGTATCTTTCTTATTATCCATATTTAATTAAAGCAAATGGGATTGAATCTTAATATTTTAAAGTGTAGAATCTACTGTTTCTTTTTGTACAATTACTTAAGGACCACCACTGTTTTAGTAATATATATTCATCTTCTTTGTATGCCATGTGCTTGGCCACATGTTGGTAGATGTCTGTACTCTTCAAACCATTTATAGCTGTTTTCGAATCTTACGAATATTGTGGCTATATCTCTGATATTACAACAATCCCTTATATTTCTTAGCCACGAATGTTGTTTTTGTTCAGGGCCTCGGTGCCCCTGTATTTTTTCTTGCTAGATTAGTTTAGAAATACAGTATTTGCTTCCTCTAATTATATGGTTAAGGTAAGAATTTTTCTGTCCTTAACACTTTCGCTGCCATTTACATATTCAGTTACTTTAGTATGGAGCCAATACGAAAAGAACCCTATCTAATTTCACAGTTTTTGGTCGCCAAAAGGCGGCGGCACTTGGCTCAATTAACACAAAACAACTTTTGGCAACAGTGGCAGCTAGTGTTAACTATGTTGAGAAATTCTTGTTCATAACCTATGATTCTCAAAATTGCTTCATTTGTAGCATATGCAGTCCATGGTATTCATATGAGTGCTTTCATACAAGGACTTTCTCATTTCAAATGCTTCAATGTAATTCAGTAATCTAACTAAATGCTGAATGATTGACAGCTATAAATTATAGTGAGTTACAGTTATAGTGACTATTGCATCATGTAAGAAATTCAGCCACACATTGTGCAATAATTACAGTTTCTTTTGAAACTGCCACCAAAAGTAGTGCAGTTCATTTGTAAATAATTTGTAGAGTGTAATTGTGATCTGACATGAAGTTTTTTTGAAAGATTTGGCATTGCTAAAAGACATCTTTTCTTTGATAATTCTCTCATCCAGATCCTCTTATTCCATTTTATTTTTTCATTCCTTTCCTTCAACATCAACAATCAACTTAATCACTATTATTATAGCTAAATACTGTACAAAGTACATAAAAGTTTGTTGTGAAATGTAAGCTTGCGCAATTGATCCTATACACTGGCACCATTAGTCTGTAGCATACTTATACCAATAATACAAAATTTAATGTGAGTGAATAGGAATACTATGATTTTTTTCTAAAATTGATCTCTTTGGCTACAAATAGGTCCCTTATACCATGACATTTAAGTATAAAAAATGTATACTTGCAAATATGTGGAATGCCAGATTGTAATTTAGAGTAATGAATGTTTGTTTATTCAGTTAATATGTTTCTTAAATAAATATTCATATCATATCAGTACTCTTTTAAAAGGTAATTATCTGTTACTTATTTTAGAGCCCTTTAATAGTAAAGTAAATATATATTATCTGATTATTAACTCATTTCATTATATATATCATCTGTAAAACTAAGTATATTTTATTATTACATTGATACAAGAGATACAATTTTTCCTGACACAAAATATATATTTTCATACCCACGTTACTAAAATAGCTTGTTAATAAATTTTATTGTATACTCAGGTGACTCTCTTAGTTAGTTTAGAGACTAGTTAATAAAATATTCCATTACGCAATCAAATAAAGAGAGAAACAGAGCATCTAGTGGCTGTGCAAATTCTGCAGTTTATTTCTGTTGTAATTTTATTTTCAGTGTTAATGAGCACTCATAGGGCTCAATCTCTTTCTTAAATCTGCAATTATATTATATAATATATATATATATATATATATATATATATATATATATATATATACATTGTTTTTCTAAACACAAACCAAATCTAGAATATTGTACACTAAGAAATAGTGTCAATGTCAAGGTAATATTAAAAATAACATCTTTAATTATGATGATTGTAAAGAATGTTTTTCCATTACAGCAAGTTCTGATGAAGCCCAAAATTATGTGGCAAAAGCTTGACTTTTAATAAAAGACACTCACTTTGAAGCACCCTTTTTTTATTGCTTCCTTAGTATTGGGTCGTTCCCGGTTACCTTCAACTATCTGTTGTTTACCAGTAGCCCGTTATTGTCCTTGACTTTCTTTATATAAGTATATATATATATATATATATATATATATATATATATATATATATATATATATATATATATATATATATATATATATAGATTTAACTACTTATAACATTTTTTCAAAAAATTTTGGCCCTACTAGACCAAAAATATAATTCTGTTGGATAAAATTTTTAAATTATTTTAATAAATAATATACCATTATACACAAAAAGTTCTTACTTCTGTGTATGATTCTTTATCTATACAAGAACCCTATACTGAACACTAAACTTCATTATAATGAACCTTTAGGCTGTAGCAGCACATCCAGTTACATTCACCAAAAATGCATTCCAGTTGTGCTGCTGAGAGGAACACACCTGGAAGAGTAGTTAGTTGGACTAACCTTTGTGATATTCAAACACATAAATTTATTTTAAATAAAACATTTGTAGAATCATTTAATCAACATACTACAAAAATAAAATCAGGGAAACAAATATTGAGAGAATAACAACATATCAACAACTAAGCAACAAAATAATGGTAAAATATTTGTAGGGATCACAAATGAAGGGAAATAAATGAAAACTACAATAAATACTACACTATAAACATAACAAACCAATATTAGGGCACAAAAATAGACACAGCATTCGAAAAGAAAATGCTTGACATGCTTGAAAACTGGAAAAAAGTTATTTCAATATTGATTGCTTTTTCTGGAATGAAAAATGAAAAATTATCAAATATTTTAAAGGCATATCCAAAGAACCTTATTAACAAGACATTAAATAACTTATTCCTTATACACTTAAAAAGTGTATAAGGAATACCAAATCAATATATGAAGCTTAAAAGGGCACAAATATACAAGAGGAACATGTTATTATTATTGTATTTCTTATAATAAACTTTTTGCTGATAAATAAAATCAATTTTCTTTTGTGTTTATAATCATAAAATATCTTTATGTGCAGTAGGTCAACTATGTAGATTGCTTCTAGTACATTAGCTACTCAAAATGCAATCCTTGAAATCATTTAGCAAGTAGACTTGTTAATTTATGTAATATTTTAACTGACTCAAATGTCTCAAAATGTTGGATTTAAACAAATAATTTATATAAGCTGAAATAATTGTTTCAAAACTGTAAGTATACTTCAATAAAGTTTTTATGATACTTTCCTATCCTTTAAAAAATTAATTTAATTTGAAAAGGGTAGCCAAAATAAATTCCCCATATGCAAGCTGGTCCTTAAAGTAAATAAATAGATATATACTGCAGCTGTCAATTTTCTAAAAGGAATGTTTTTAATATATTTAAATATAATATCATTGAACTGTTCTAATTATCATGTATTTTTTACAACGAAGACTGCTAAAAACCTTTCAATTACTCTATGATAAAAAAAATTAAAAAATGTATTTGGAGAGAGGACATGTGAAGCCTAATCAACGTAAATAAACAATCAGCTGATTGCAGGCGTACCCTAACATAATATAAATAACAGCTTATTTTAGATCCAATCAAAATAACATCAATCAAGAACTTGGAGAACTTTGTTTACTTATTTTTTAATAGACTGTATTATTATCTGCCTAAATCGCACTTGCTATTATGTAATGTATTATGTGTGGTTAAAAAGTAAACATTGTACTTCAAAACATATAATATATATAATATTAAAAATACATACCCTCCAGCCACCAAATGGATAACAGTGTCTCTCTGTATTTGAGTCATGTCACAAAATCACAATAATTTTGGAACATAAACATTAGGGTTAATTTTTTTTCACAAAGTTTGATAACCAGCACTTGTTTATAATCAGTACAAAAGTAACATTTTTGGAACACAACTCGAAAAAAAAAACACGTCAGTAAAGACGAAAAGGGTTAATATTCCTAGCTTAGGGTAGATATTTGTATAATATTCTTAACACGCTACTACGTGACAAACTCCCCGTATTCAATACGAAACTTCATTCTTCAACATTTTAGAAATAGAGACTATTTTCCTGTAAAATATCTCTTGACATATCCCCCCTTCCGACTAATACCATGCTTTGATCACGTGGAATTGTTTACCGGTATAAGGATGCCCTAATTTTCCAAATAAAAAATAAATTATAATTTTTAAATAATTAACATTCGCTTAGTACTCTTGTCGAAAATTAATTTATATAAATTGTTCAAAGACTTAAATCGATAAATTGCGCACTTTACAAAAGATAAAGCACTTTTTCGCGTTTTGAAGTGTTTATATCAAGCGCATTAACTGATTTCCGATTACCAACGAATGCATCAATGTCGATTTAAAAATATGATATCGTCCTTGAATAATACAAACATGTTTTCACTGTATCGAAGTTTTCAACTTTACCGCTGCAGACTTAACCTGTGACTGCAAAATTGCAAAAGCAAAACATCAACATTTACAGCACACTCAACTCTTTCATCTGATTCCTGCCATTGAGGAGTGTGCGCACTCGTATATTTGCACGTATGGTTTAGACAGAATCGTATTAAGATTTCAAAATACATATAATATAATTTTCTCATCTAAGTATGTAATTCAAATGTTCTGTATGCTCCGGCTATATTTTAGATGTATTTCTACAAATATAGTATGATTATAAGAGCAACTTATATTTAAAACATCAATTGGTTTTTCAAAACAATATTAATTTGAATACTTTTACTACGATAGAACAGACGAATGTTCCAAAATATATACAACAAATATGAAAGTACTAATTTTCGAACCTTATTAAGTTGTAATCACTCAAGAAAAAGGAGATCTAGCAAATATCATCCGAAAATAAATTGAAGCAAAAGTATAGAAAAAACAAGCATTAAACGTAGGCAAGAGTAAGTATCAAGAACAAAAGAAGAACCAGTAAAAAATTAGAAGTAGAAGAGAACAAGGGAATTAAAGAAACTGGAAAATTTAGGATTTATACTTTCAACAAATAATTAGTAGAGAAGAAAATAACTAGTAGATTGACGCAAACAATAACATTTATCGAGCAAATAAACGGCTTACGATGGCTTGATACACATTACCAGAAACACAAAAAGACAACTTATACCTAACGCTCTGTTATGCACTATATTGACGTATGTGAATGAAGAACTGGGTAATAAACAAACGAGACAAAATCAAAATTACTCGAAATGTAATAGGATTATCAGGTTATTCTTCCATATGGGTGGTATGGACTGCTGAGGGATCTGAGACGAGATATGAGTGGAATGCAGTGTATTTTTTAGTTATTTTGGAATCTCTAATAGCAACATTTGCAATATTAAAGTTATTAGTCATTCCAGCAAATACTCCTATTAGACAGGCCATTCACGTTCACGTAGGACTACTAGTTGAATGTTCGTCTCCATTCACGCTCCGACTTCCTATCCAACTAGCGGTCCAACTTCAGTTCTAGGTTGTTTTCACGATGGTGTACATCGCTTAACCAAAAAATGTTTCGAATAAACACTACGCAAAATATAATTAGGAGGAAGAAAGTGGCAGCATTGTGCTTGTTATCCTTATATGTATGTTATTATATGTATGTTTAAAAATTTCTCTAGTTATTTGTCTAGGGCTGAACTAATGAATTTTTTCAACCCTTGATTTTTATGACTTTTTAAGATGTAAGAAAAAATTATAGTTTTTAAAGATTTGTGTAGGTATAAAATCTATATTTTATTTGTTTTAAACTGGAGTTGAGATTTATTTTGTTGTGTGTGTGTGTCGTATATTTGTAATAGGAATAATTTTTCGTGCAATTGAAAGTTATTTTCTATTATTTTTTTGCGAACTAGGGATCTTTTGCTACAACTATGATTTCATTTTCATTGTTTGTTGATAATTCTTCCGTAGCCAATCCGGAGTATCAGAAATTTACCTGTATGGGAATGTCCGAAATAGATCTACAGAAAGGAAAATGATTTGCCCTAACAAAAAGGTAATTTTCGTGCAATTGAAAGTTTATTTTCTATTAAATATTCGCGAACTAGAAATCTTTGCGTAAAGTATTTCATGGAAATCTAATACGTAACAGGTGCCGAAGGTCAACTGACTGAGGAAATTTTCTATCCAACCTGTGATCGGACTTCCAACTTCACATTCACGCTCCGACTTCGTCGCCAGTCGGAAGTCGGATCTTCAAGTCGTCCCACTAGATGTTCCGAGTCGTACCACTAGTTGTCCAACTAATCCAACTAGCCCACTCACGGTCCGATTTCAGATCCAACTGCAAAAGTTGGACCACTAGTCGTACTACAAGTCGGAACGTGAATGGCCTGCATTATACAGGCTACCAAGCCTATCCTCTTTTCCAGCAAAATTCTGGAAAAATTAAGAGAGATTTCACACGACGATCGTCAATATGCATAATACAATACTAAGTAATAATACAATAAACTAAGAAAACACTCATGAACATGGAAATATTTTTTACAAGATTAGACCTTAGTCTGGAGCTCAGATGCAATACTTGAATCAAGTGTTGAAGAGGTGAAAGATATGCATTACTCCGAATAATATTGGAAGATAAAATGCAGAGCAAAAGATCAGTAGGAAGAAGCCGCAACTTATGGCTGAAAGACCTGAGGGGATGGTTTGACCGCTTATCCACAGAAATCTTTCTTGCAGAAGTTTTCAAAGGTACAATTGTCATTTGGATCACCAACCTACGAAAGGAGGCACAATAAGAAGAAGAGAAACTGCTGATTGGGATTTTAGGCTCAAAAAGCATTTGAGTCATATTGGTTAGAGGTTGGTTAGAAGAAGACGCATTTTGCTGGTTCTATCGAGGAAACAGTAAGACCGCACTGCACATATTATGCCACTGCAAAGGCGTTGCAAGGCCTATCTAAAACACAAAGAGCAAAAACCAGACACATCAGGTTATATGCAGAAACCTCTCTCAAGGCTGTAAGACCTCAACATGAGGAACGAGATAGATGAAGAAATTTATTGATAAAGGTAAGCATAACAGACAGTACAACGGTCGCAGTGTGCTATGTCTTTTCCTCCCTATCTATATAGCTAGGCATTTGTCAAAATTGTAAAACTAAGGTTTTAATTTAATGTAAACCCAATGAAGATAAATACAGAAGAGGACAACCACTTATACTTATTTGAGAAACAAATTTTTTCATTATTTTCAACATTTGACGTAATGAGATCGATTGTAATAATTTTAGTACCTATTTTATAAAATATGAGTGGTTTCAGGTGTTCAAAGATATTTAAATTCTCTTAAGCAACTCTCTTTAACTGATATACTATTTGTTTATTTCAGTTGCCTCCTATTTCAATAATACGTATAAAAACCCAAAGACTGTAGTTCTAATTAAATACATTATAGTGTTATTTGCCTGCACTCAGCGAAAGTCAATTTATTTTCCATGAACAATACATGTACCTACATCATTTAAAGGTGTTTAGTAGATAGAACTTTAAAGTTACATCGATATCTGTAGTTTAAATATAAAAAAGTATATGTGATAAATTCAACAATCATATAATATTGATTTTTTAATTAATCATGAACTAAAGGACGACCCTGCGTATTGTTTACATTTTTCAGATTGTAAGGTATATTGGAACTACTATCGTTATAAATTATTTCTATACAGTGTTTCTTAAATTTTATTGATCAACAAATTAGTGTCATATATCTCTCAGATTTTGATATTAAATTCTATCATATTTTCTAAATAATAAAAATGGTACAATAAAGACCTAAGCTTAATATTCGAGTTGACATTCAAAAAACCTTTACAATCCAGACCAGGTATGAACTACTGTCACTGTCAATGTCAACTAAAGTCAAAATAAAACAAAAAATATGTTTGAAATATCAAGGATAATTAACATATATTTCTAAAAATGCATAGAGATCAATGAAAAGATGTCTGTTTCTTTTTAACATGTACTAAGTACATTAAGGATATTTCAATAATTAATAAATGACCACTGCAGTCTGATGGAAAATCGTATTTGCTCATAAAAATAATGTTTCTAAGTTCATTTCGAATGCCTCAGAACAAAGCAATACACTGTTACCTCTTGATGAGCTTGTGGATTTTATTAATCGTTGTCGGTATTTACAAGTTTTTAGAAGAAAAACAGAAAACGCCAGAACCTGAAGTAATTTCGTCCACTTCATACACGAATCTTGCATTAGATGCTAAAACTAAGAGAATATTTCGAATATGTAACTTTCCTGAGGATCTTGTAACAGGAGATGAAGGTTAGTAAATCTAAAAGACATATTTTTTCGTATATTTAATTATAGTCAAATTCTATACACAAATGTTTAAGTGAATGCCTAACCTTTATAAGCAGAACATCATATCAAAGAATATAGACACATATGCACATGCATCTACATTCTTTGATCTTATTATGCTTATTTTGTACCAGGTTTTTTGCATTCCCAAAGATAGGTATTTTACATTTTAAAGTGTGTTACTAGCTTTATTTTATGTTTAAGGACAGTTAAGCATTTTTCACAGAAAACTGTCTCAAATACAACATGTAACTATTTGAATATGATATTTCATGCAAAAACCTTGATCAAGGTGGCAACTATCTTGGAATTACACTGTACAGCTATGGAGACCTGGACAAAGAAGTTAGATATCAATTACAAAAAGCAAATAGACTGACAGGATGCCTTAATAACACTATATGGTGAAACATACATATTTACACTGAGATGAAGTCCAGAATTTATAAAGCCAGTGTAAGACCAATAATAACATATGCCTTAGAAACAAGGTCAAACACAGCTACACACAAAGGCTACTGGAAATGGCAGAGATGAGAGTACAGAGAAGGACTACAGGAAATATGACAAGAGATCAAAAGACAAATGAAGACATTAGAAGAAAATGTAACATACAGTGTATAAGCGAATGGACACTAAATAGAAAAAAGACTGCAATAACCACATAAGTATAATGAGGGAGACCCATGTTGTCAAAATAGCAAGAGATAAATCACCAATCAAATGACAGCACAAAAGATGAGTGACAACATTCAATAAAAGTACTTATTAATCTGTCAATAAACAAGCAGAATTGCTTATAACGACAAAGAATAAGAAGATGGCAACTAAAATATTTTATTTCAGTACTAAATTAATGAAAACTTTGTTTAAGCGAATGGATGGATAGATTTTTTAGTTGCTTAATTACAGGAATTAAGTAAAGTAGCAAGTATTGCTAAATTACAGGAATATGCAAATGACCTATGCATGCATCAAAAGAGAGAGAGAGAGAGAGAGAGAGAGAGAGAGAGAGAGAGAGAGAGAGAGAGAGAGAAGTATTGCTACTTGTAAGATTCAGTTTACCATTATTACACCAGTGTGTGTGTGTCAATATCTAAATTTTTATAGATTAACAATAAAGTCTTCAAATCTGCAAAAAATTTAATTACAAAGGTTATGTTTTCTGACATATGTTTGTTTATATCATTACAAGCAGTCCTTCTAGAACCATATCTTGCAGAACTGGCTGAATGACGAAAGTCTATGCCACAAAAAAATATCTTGCAGAATACCTGATTCAATGACAGACAATATATTTCCTATCTTGTGTTATGCTCAAACCACAAATTTCTATTAAATAAATAAAACTTGTTTTATTAGGTTTTGTCAAAGCCTTGATAATAATTATAAATTTTAGGTGCTATTCACACAAGCAAATGGTCACTTAAAGGTCTCTTAATACTTATAAGACATGGAGATCGAGGTCCCCTTCAGCATATAAAGAAAATATCATCCATAAACTGTGGGACACCCAGTACTGAAATGTTAACAACATATAAGGTAAATTTGAGCTTTATTTTTATCATCTAAAAATAAATAAGTTTAGCATTCATGTTTTAATGATATATAGGTTTAAGGTCAATAATTTAAAGTTTAACACAAAACTTACAGATTGTGAGGCTATATTGTTTCGGTGTGGATTATTCCATAATTATCATATGTACACAAAATATCTAATGGATTTATTGAAAGATATATCACTATAGTTGACTTATCATTGTCTTAAGTATGTTTGTGGGTAATGAGGATGTTTGGATTTGTCAAAAGAAATTATGTTTGTTTTCAAATAAGTAAATATGTCAAAAATTCTATGCTTTACCCTGCCAGGTTTCTTCTTCAGTATACATTAGTATTTTCTCTCCCTTCTAACAACTAAGCCCAAGTTAACAACTCCTAGATAGATTTTTAAGATTGGCTGCATTGGAGAAGAATAGTAAATATATACTGCAAAACTATACAATAAAGAAAATGAAAATCATAAAATATGTAAGTACTTAATTGAATGTAAAATTTGTGAAATAGTAATAATGTAAAATACAGATCATTATGCGCTACACCAAGAAGACCTTTTGAGCACATAAATAAACAATATCACCAACTGTTCAGAGCTCTCAGTGGACTTTACATTAAACATCCCTGTTGAACTGTTGTAATATAGTGATTTGCTTTTCATTCTTTTTCATTAAATATTTTTACTCTGTTCTGTATTGACAGAACATTGAAGTTCATTATCATCTACATATGTCATATATTTTCCTATTATATTTAGTTTCTTTTATATGTGTTTTAAAACTTATAGACATATGTTTATCATATTTATTATTAGATATTGAAATTATTATAAAATGGGGTTTTCTATAAAATTTTTAAACTAAATATAAAAGATAAATTATTTTTATTCTCAGGCTTATTTACATAATCAATCCCTTCCTGGGAAAGTTTCATGGGTTGGACCAGGACCATTTCATGGTTTTCCATTTTTGCCAATGCACCCTAGTCAGTGTCATTTAGGCCAACTAACTATGCAAGGTATGTATTATGTAAATGTAGAAAAAAATTTATTATAATGTTTTTGTTCATGGCCATCAAAGTAGATGGCACCTATGTATGCTAACCACGGAAGTGGGAAATATTCAGGAAACATTCGTTGGACTTTCTGAGTTTGAATTTATATCAGCCCGAGTGTCTGACGAGCAGGACTAATATGACGTCAATTGATACTGATTCAAACACGGGTTATTTCACAAATTTGTCCTCCATATATGTGGCTTTTCAATTCTTCAAAGCAAGAGTGGCTAAAATAAAGGTCGTAAGGTCGCAGTGTAGCTTGCAACAAAGGAAAAAAATAATAATAAAATATGTGTATAAGATGGAAGGCAACTGTATATATGTATTTCTTACTATTGGTCTTCTTCAGTATGGTGCAGCCAAGTTGGAAAAGGAGCATGTTAACTTGGAAAAAGATCACTATATGAGCAATGCGACCAATTTGTGGCAATACTGTTAGAAGACTCTGAGGTTTCCAGAGCAACAACTAACACATCTACTGAGGAAGCTAAATTTTCATGTGTTTTAGATTATAATTCTCTTCTATAAATGAACAAACAAAGTTGAATTAAAAATGTACAATGAATAATAAATAAAAAAAACTAATCTGATTTTTGATTTAAAATATTTTATATGTTACAGGTGTATCCCAACTGCTTAAGTTGGGAAATCTACTTAAGCAAAACTATAAAGATGTTTGGCCAAAACTGCATTCGTTAAAACCTACTGAAGTTATGATACACAGCACACGTTATAGAAGAACATTTCAATCAGTTTTAGCATTTTTATATGGTTTAATTCCTCCAGAAACTTTAGAAAAAGTTGTTATGTACGAGAGCCAAAGTATGAGTTTCTGTTTTAGAGATTGTGGATGTCCTGTTACTGAGAAATTATATAAGTAAGTTTTATTAATCTCTTTAGCTTTAGCAATTTTTCTCACAACAAGCTCAAAAATTATAATAATGATAAAAATCAAGATTGCTATTTTTTTCAAAAGAAATTTTTTGTTATTTTAAAGAGCTTATTATTTTTCCTTCTTAATCAATGGAATACTAGGTCGGCTTCTTCAACTAGTCTTCATCCGTAACATTTTTTTAAATTCGACCTTATCCCGCCACTTTTTTGTAAAGCCACATATATGAGAAATCTTTATTAATAAATGTTTATCCAACATCAATAATATGGCTGCAAATTTTGTCATTTTTTGCACAAAATAGCAACTTGTTATATTATTTACAATAAAGTTCATCTTTTTCTTCTTCTTCTTCTTTGACAACTTCTGTTCTGGACATAGGCCTCCCCTTGTGTTACCATGTTCGCCTGTCTTGATAATATTTTATGATTGATAATAATATTTTTCAACAATTTCAGATATTTAAAGTTTATCTAATATTTAATATTTTAGAAACGTCAAAAAGAGTATATCACATCAACTTCAATCACATCCAGCTGTAGCGGCATTATCGGAATCAACAGGAAATGCTTTATTTTCTGTTAATGGAGAACCTACAACTGTTAATACAGATCCACATTTCGTTAGAGACGCCCTTTTGACTTTTGTCTGTCACAGAAATGGCCTTCCTTGCGATACACCTGTCAATTGTATAAGGTAAGATTACTTTAAAGAACTTTCGCACTTTAAAATTTTCTTCTGTGCCAAAATACAGCAAGTCACACAGTGCCGGATTTAGTTCATGGACTGCCGGGGGCTAAGTCATGCTATAACGCCGCTCTCCAGTAGGTATAGATCTTAGGTTCAGAATTCATTAAAACTATTTTAATATTATTAAGTAATTTATTACAAATATACAAAAAAGACCCAAACTCACAACTTATAAAGTAAATTAACATAATTATTTACAAACAAATTTTCCTGGACTTCCTACTTGCAAACAGGTCGATGATTTTATTAAAATCTAATTTTGTAAGCAGATCATTATTAATATTTAAAACAGCGAACGAATTTAATGTTTTTTCGTCATCGTATTTTTCAAATAATTTTTGACCCGTTTTAAAGTGAAAAATGATCTTTCACCAGTTGCGTTAGTAACCATCAACAATAATAAGATTCTTAATGTTATTTCTACGTTTGGGAAGGTTGCATATGAATTTGTTTTACAATTTCTTCTAATATGTGGTCCGAAAGCACTTGCAAAACTTCAAAACAAATCGTTTTTGATAAATAAGATACTGAACCACAGCCTTTTGAAGCATATTTTTCAATATGTTCCTTTAAAAGAGGATCATATTCCGCCAACAACTCCAGTAATCCAAGGTAGTTGCCATTGCTAGTAGAACCGAATTTTTCGTCGGTTCCTCTTAAAGGTAGTCCCCTACTAGCTAAGAATTTTATGACACTAACGACTCTTTGTAATATGTTTCGCCAGTATGTGGTCTCATGTTCAATCTGTTGCCGCCGAGAATCATCGATCTTTCTCATACTCAACGAATTTCTTGAAATAAAATTTTTAAGATGTTCTAAATGAACGATTGACATTTCATGACTGTTGCTTTATTATTTGTTATCAATACATTATATGGTGTAAATAAATAAGTATTGACTGGTGGTAATTAGCTTTAAAGTTTTGTTTTATTTATGTTTGTGTCCTACCAAAAAGGTATCCTATTTTTTTATAGCTAATATTGGCTATGAGCACGTGTGCTTGGCTGTATAGTAATTTCCAATCACTTCTAGTCTGTCAAAAAGTAACTAGCTTCGCAAAAAAAATAACTACTAAATTCACTAAACAGTTGGAACTGGGATTAGCCAATTTACTAAAGCTCTACATCATATGTATATCATAAAATGCTGACTTAATTTTCTTTCATTTTTCTATATTCTTTCATTTACTTTAAACTGTATTTTATAAAAATATACATTTTAGACGTCAAAACGTAGTAGGAATATTCGCCTACACTGACTGGGTAAACTACCAAAAATGGAGGAATGCATTTTGGAAGAGATACTGTATATTAAAATCATACGGCTTGATTAGGCACATCGTCCAACACATGCTTCAAATGGTATCTAATAGCGGACCTTACCTCGTGGTTTATTCTGGACATGATCATACTCTGGAGCAATTGAGTACAGCTCTGGGCCTTCAAAACGACCCGTTCCTTTTGAGATACGCAGCCAGAATTGTATTTGAAGTGTATCAAGAAAAGCAGGAATTGGATAATACTCAAGGTATATATTTTAGACTGCTCAGCAACGGAAAAGATATCACTAGACAAGTTAGTTTTTGTAAAAATATTGTAAACGCAGGTGCAAAAATAAGCCTGTGTAAAATAGAAGATATCGTTAGGTTTTTACATGATGATTATTTTAGTTCGTTGAATGTAACTAATTTTAAAGACGCATGTATGCGATGAACTTGTGATTTTAGATTTAGGAAATAGTATTAAAACTTATCAATGATATTATAATTATATAGAACAAACCCCTAATGCGAATGTCGGAATTCAGTATAACTTAACATAATTTTGCAAATGTCTTTATGAAAATATGAAATGTATGAATGAGTCTACATAGTGCTTCAATTTTTCTATAGATTTTAATATTTATATGGTGAATGTTTCAATAATGACGAGAGTGACGAGACTTAACATAGTAGAGACAATCAATCAGTATTTACTGAATATATTGATCTATATCTATATCTGAAGTCTTCAAACTCATAATGAACTCTTAAATGTAAACTAATTAAAGTATATCTATGGGATGAAATAATTGAGACTAAAAGATGAAAGAGATGGAGACTAATCCTAAAATTAATATACTGTATATTTAGGAAAGTCCAAGAGTAGACAAATGTAGTGGAAGAGGAAGAACACCTATACGTTGGGTTGACAACATCAGGCGTATCACCAAAAATTGGCAACAAAGAGCACAAAATCGTAAAGAATGGAGACGTTTAAGGGAGGCATATGTCCAGCAGTGGACGTGATAAATGAAGGCTGGATGATGATGATGACAGTTAGGAAAAATATGACAGGGAAACTAAAGAACTGGAAACCCTAAGAAATCAGAAAGAGATAAGAAACATATAGAAAGAATCAACAGTACAAGAAAAGAATTTAAAACTAGATTAAATCTGTGTGGGGACAAGAAAGACATATATTTTAGCTAATAAGGAGAAAATCGTTAAGAGGAGGGCGGAACATTTCAAGGATTTGCTGATGATGTCTAGATACGTTATGATACGTCTGGATACGATGTTAGACCGAGTGAGAACTATGAGCGTAACATACAGACTAGACCTTAATATTAAGAAAACTAAATTGATGGTTGTCAGCCGTGCACATTTAGATCCTGGGGCACTAATGGCAGGTAGCAAAGAGATCCAGAGAGTCGACAGATTCACTTACCTCGGAACTACTCTCAACTCACAATGGGACTACGCTTAAGAGATTAGATCCAGAATTGAAGTGGCATGGTCTACATTTATCCAGTTGAGATCCTTGCTGTGCTGCAGTAATCTCAGTTTGTGAACCAAGATGCGGATAGAGAGGTGCTAGCTACATTCTTCCAGTGTTACTATATATGGTTAAAGCCTGGACACTGACGCAAGCCACAGAAAAGCAGATTGAAGCCTTCGAGATGTGGATCTACTGAAGGATACTAAAAAAATCGTATGTGGACCATGTCATCAATATTGAAGTCCTACAGCGCATGAGAAAAGAAAAAGAAGTGCTTAATTTAGTGAAACAACGTAAGCTTGAGTACCTTGGGCACGTGATGCGGAACGAAGAAAAATATCGAATTATTCAACTCGTTACGCAGGGTAAAGTATTTAGCAGGAAAGGGCCGGAATGCCGTTGTATCTTGTGGTTAAAACCACGATTCCGAAACCAACAATGGTTTGGGATGACCTCCGAGGAGCTGTTTCGCAGAGCAGTCAGCTAAACCATGATAGCCTTGATGATCGCCAACATCCGGACCTGATAAAAGAAGAAGTCTAGATACGCAATTAAACTTTGGTCTAAATGAGACTGATGTACCGATCTGACAGGAAACCAACGAGGTAATCCGAAAGATAAAGAACAAGAAATGATGAAATCTTCGCAGAATTTCACAAATATGGAGAAGAACACTTAACCAACAAAATCCACAAAATTGGAACAAGACTATGGGAAGAAGAAGAGAAAATGGTGATTAGCTTGAATACAATGTATAAAATACTATCTAATACAATTTACGCTCGTCTGATCCCATAATCTGAAGATATTCTGGTTGAATACCGAAGTGGATTGACAGCTGGTCAGTCAACAATATAGAAGATATTAAGATAAATCCTTAAAAGCGCCAAGGCATATATCGACATCTGCCGCCTGTTCGTAGATTTCAAAGCAGGTTATGATAGCGCGATACAAACAACTTATGTGCAACAATGGAATACTTCGGAATTCTTGTTAAACGGATGGTCATGATCACAATGTCAAAAACCATAATATGTAAAGTAAAAATACAAAATAGCTATTCTAAAAATTAATCACCAACACATGACTGTTTTTAATGCGCCTCATTTTTAATATTGCGCTAGAGAAAACGATAAAAATGCAAAACTGAACAGCCGTGATATAATACTTAATAAACCTATCCGGATATTGGCCTATGCATATGACGTTGACCTTGTCGCAAGACAGAATCTGTAACTAAGGAGATGTTCGCTGCATTTTCAAATGCAGCAGGTAATATGGGTATAATGATCAATGAAAGGGAAAATAACTCATAGCATCATAGACAGATTACAGAATCAAAAACATGGGACAAAACTTTAACATTGGTAACTATAATTTTGAATGTTGGCAAACAGAAATTATGGACTTATCGAAGACTTAATTGTGAAGAACTATTAAAGTGCCATTTAAAAAATTTAATTTTCCTTTTATGTGTGTATGCGGATGTGTGCGTGTGTATGCCTGTAGAACAAACTTTATCTTCGGACTTAATCCATTAGCCATATCTCGTATTTTTTCTCTCTAAACATAATAAATTTTTAGCATTTATACTTTGATTGAAATAATTATTAAAATAATTTTCCGATTATTGGTTAAACGGAGATATATTTCTAATTGTTTTAATAAACTGAGTTAATTATTGAAATAATGGATATTCATACTAATTCATTCACAATTTCTACCGGTATAGCTTTTATAAACGCCAGATTTTCTACGGTCGCATTCAGTTGGTTTGTTCTGTATACAAAATGTAGAGTACAAATATTTGAAGAGATTATGCCATCGAATTTTAAAGTAATAGCACAGAATAATAAAAAATCAGAATGTCCACTCTCAGATGCCGCCTTTGAAGTTTTTCAGCACGCGCGCCATGTTTTAGAAGGAAACACATAACACAGACATATGATTTGTGAGGTTATGTAATTGTTTATATTTATGTTTAATTATTTACTATTAAACTGGGAATAAGCCACAATTAAAGATAAAAATACGTTTATTGACGTTTCAATTTCCACTTCGGAAATCGTTCTCAAAATACAAACAGTAAATTAAACAAATTTTGTTTTTTGTTACATAGTGAAAAATTCTTCTAATAATTTAATTTTATCTGACTCATTTATATTGACAATTCAGACATACATTATGCATTTTAAAGTAGACGACTTTAAAATGATATTGCCAATATTGTTGAGTTGCGCTCCTGAGACGACTTTACTTATAAGATAGTTCATTCGATTACATGAAATCAACTTTAACTTGGGAACATCCGTCAGAAAAAAATCATAGCATGTAATTCGTCTTTAAAAAGACAAACACATGACATGATGACAGTAAAATTCTCCTGTTAGTGATTCCATAGTAAATTATGAGGGAAAACCAGGAAAAAAACCTCATAATACTATCCCGACATTGTAAGTATTTGTTCGTGAATTTAGTTTACCTTCAACAAACATCAAAATTCTGATTTTATATGTTACGTTATTTAAAAAACATAAATGATGTATCCTCTATATGTTACTGACTTACTAATACTGGTATTTTCTTATTAATAACTTCCTCTTTCAATATTCGTAACCAGATCCTACTACATTCTGCCGAGGAATTTGCGACACAATTGGCCTCATTTAGCATAATTAGAGCCGCTACTTTGATTTTTCTTTTTTTACCATCCGTTTCTTTTAGGACTACATTTGAATTATTCCATTGAACCCTATGTTCATTATCCCATGCGTGTTTACAGATTTGAGATCTATCAAATTCTTTATTTTTAATATAAGATTGATGTTCACTTATTCTAACATTTAATGGCCTTGATGATTCACCTAAATAAAACTGATCGCATTCACAAGGTATTTTATAAATGCAATTCTTTGTCCTTTTTTGTTCATTGTTAGGTTTGGTTTTGGACAAAATAGATCTCAACGTGTTTGTTGTTTTGAATGTTGTTGAAATGTTGAATTTATTTCCTATCCTTTTAAGTTTTTCTGATAGTCCTTTTATGTACGGTATTGTTATTTTCCTCATATTATTCCTTGTGTATGCTGTAGGATCTCGTTCTAAGTTGTTCTGTTCTATTCGATCGATTGTTGAAAATTCCTTATTTATAAACGATAAAGGATAATCATTTTTTATTAAAACAGATGTTAACAGATGTTTGTCCTCCAAGAACGAATTTTCATTAGAACAAGTAATTTTGGCTCTATCGTATAAGGATTTAATTATTCCCTTTTTTACATTAATATTGTGATTTGATTTGAAATTTAAATATCTATTGGTGTGTGTTGGTTTTCTATACACCTGAGTGGAAATTGAAACGTCAATAAACGTATTTTTATCTTTAATTGTGGCTGATTCCCAGTTTAATAGTAATTAATTTACAATGCCATAAGAAAATAGCTTCAGAACAATATATTTAATTATATTATATTTATGTTATTATATTTAACAATTTATGTTATTATATTTAACAATGTTAATATAATTGTATAGTATGTCTATGATTGCCGTAAGTCAATAAACAGGGTTAATTTTTCTATGTACACCACATAAACAACACTGGTTCCCTGTAAAACATGGCGGAACGTCTGCGCGAACGAGATGCGCATACTTAATTTTCTATGGAGAGTGGTTATTCTGATTGTTTATTATTCTGTGGTAATAGTCTAGGATATTATATTATAATACAAATTAAAAATTTTTTGCACCCAAGAAATATTCCGTTTTTGTAATTTTTAATTATAACATTTTGATTTCAAATGACGCGTATAGAAGTCAAAGGATACAAGTGCATTTTTTGCAGTTTTGAGAAAGTTAAGTTTGAAGTTTAACACCTTCCCTAAATTTTACCGCTTGTTTTTCAAAATAGTTAATAATTGGCCGGTCTTTTTAACTTTAAAAACTTGTATGCAATAGTACAATTATATCAGATTAAAAAAACTTACTTGTACTTGTATCTTCATTCTTTAAATTCAATTTAATTTATTTCCAGTTAAGAAAAATGTACAGTATACCAGTACCGTACTGTCCAGTGATCTATAGTTTTAATTTTTGTTGTTGCAATTATCTATAGCCGGAATTTTACAATAATCTTCCTTTTGTTCTGGTCTCCACAGTTGTCACTAAAAACTGTACGATGCATAACATGTTCTGGTACGATTGTATGAATTTCATCTCCAGGATGCTTGTCCTTGGTGCCATAAAAACATGTACCCCACTCCAGTTTTTATGGTATGGATGCAGAAATTATATGTCCATAATTGACGCAAGTAATATGCTTTAGAGATATGAAAAGCAGGTGTTGGCAACATCTTTTTTGAGTCAAAACAAATTACATTTGATTCATTCCTAAAACTGTGTTTAGCTGTAATTACTGCTTCTGCTTTACTTAAGTGAACATCTTTGTCGGCAACTGCGTTTCTTCTTACCTCATCTTCTCCATTATTAATATTTTGTAATTTATCACAAACACCGCATGTGTGGGTTGGAGGTCTATGGAACCTCAGATTACATTGTGTGTTAAAATTTTACGGATAAAAGCTTTCGTTTTCTGCCTGGACCCCTTTATCTGTGCAAAATTATTGGTAAAGATTATACATTTTATTTACACTAAGTCCAGGGTCAAGGTATTTACAATCAGGATTTTTGTGCCGAGAGGAATCACAAATATATTTCGGGAACCTATTATTATTCTGCTTGATAGTATCAACTATTTCTTGGCAAATTTTATTTTCCGGTGATCGCTTTTCTCTATTCTCTCTTGGAGATAGACCACTTGAGAAATAATTTTTTTTTCTATTGACCAAGTTTTGAATTCATTTATTTGAAAGATCAAGTGTTTTTAACAGAAACTCTTTATGTTTAACAGCCTCCATTTACAAGACACTTCAACACGCCCAGTTTTCTTCTACTTATTTTAAGTAACTTAATTGCGCCATTAAGATGGTAGTTTCCAGCTACTCAGTGCTCAGAAATCAGCAAAAATTTCTTGTCTCTTTTCTTCATTGATCTTGTCGTGATATTTAAATCGGCAGTTGTGAATAAATGGTTTTACAGATTTTTTGGGCTTTGGTCTGTATTTCGGGCAGTTGTCATCTTCGCTCTTTTCCAGTCACTTGGACGCCTTACTCTGTTCTTTCCTTTCGATGAATCGATGCATTTCATATGCATCTACATCTGAAAAGAATTTTTTAACGTATTTTATTTAAATAAGATAGAGGGGTAAATACCAGAATTACTTAAGGTAGATGTATCATCACTTGGAGGGAAAAAATCGGGATTTGCATCTGAATCTAAAAAGGCAAAATTATTCTGATGAGAATATTAAAACGTGTATGTAGAAAAAGATGTGAAAAAATATGTTTCTGTCAGCAATCGTACAATAAAAAAAGATTTCTGGATATCTCCTAGACTGTAGTGGAGAGTAGAATTATCTCCTAGCTAAACTATACTGGGTAGTCATGTAACAGGCACAAAAAATAAAAAAGTGAACAAAATCTGAAAGTCTGTTGTTCCTGTCTTTTTTTTTCGCTACAATAGTGCAAATCCCTAAACTGATTAGCAACGTCATTAATTAACTTACCATCTGAAAAGTTGAGTTTAAAATGTAAACTTAAAGATTCTGACATTTTTCTTTATTTCAAACTACAAACCGATGTAGCTAACACATTGTACCACAAATCCAACAAGCATTAACGAGTTGGCTGCCGAATAAGAAACAAAATATTTTCAGGAAGTAAGTAAAATACCTAGATCTCACTACTGGTTTAAATTCACGTGTACTCTTTATCCACAACATTAAAATGGTTATTGTTTATCTATTACTGTACTTATCTTCCTTCAACTTAAACAAAATTTCACTTGTACTCCTTGGCTTCTAGACGCCTTAAATAATATCCAATATTAAGATATTAACAACCATTGCAGCCAACGTTGCATTTGAATGCAACGGATTAAAGTAACTTTTTGTGTGCTGATCTGTATACCTAGTGTTATTTCTAAGAACTCTACAACAAACGCCATTCATGGTGGAGTTTTGTCGTACAGAAATTGTTTGGGAAAGTATGTGCGAATTCATTTCATATTTTTACAGTTAATATTTTTTCTGTTACGGTACTGTAATGTGATCTAATTTGTTGCTGTATTTTAAAGACCTTTTGAAATATATTGTTTCCTGTTGTCTCATAAAACTTAAACTGGATATCTCATTTATGATGTTGTGAATGCGGAGAATTTGGCTTCTCTTTTGTATGGTTCAAAAATATACACACAAGTGTAAAGTTTCTTGTTACCGTCATAATTAGTTAAAATTATCGGAAAGGTCGCAATACAATGGAATGATTTATTGGTACACCCTCTCGGACCACCGCTTAGAGGGTTCATTCTTAGCTCTGACCATATCAACGCATTGGCACTTCTTCGTAACACAGTGAATAAAACGCACCACACTTGACCGGTCTCGTGTTAATTAACATCGGCGTCCCAGGCCGCGGCGTCGTGATGCCCAACGACCAACTCTTCAGCCTGTTACGAATTCGTCAATAGAACCAAAGGGTAAGTCTGTTCTTTGTACAAAACAACAATAATGAGTAAACCAGTTGATTTCATAACTTATTCACAATTTATAGTTGCTATTTTCGCTAATTTTATGTACAAACAAATATTGCATTTTTCGTTATAATTATTTATCTGATATAATTTAACCAGCGACCTCTCAAGTTTAATCCTAAACAGAAATTAAAAGTACCCATTTTAGCTGCATTTCTTAAATAAATATTGACAATGAAACAGTAGTAGGGGTAAGTATGACTGAATATCAAATAAAACCAACTAAAAACTTTTTACTGTAATTACATAGCACAATATTCTTTCGATTAAAAGAAGATTTTGCTTGTAAGTAAGAAATAATCAATGTGTTTCGAAAATCAATGTGTTAAAAATTAGCAGACGTTCGTTAAGTCTATATACCCCGAAACGCAACTGTATACCAATTTTTTTATTGAGTTTTTAAACTGACTGTTTCAATATAGAATCAAAATGGAATTGCGCATTTTGAAACTACTTGACATAAGCTTTCATTTCATTTTTTTTTTAATTTGATCTTTATCCTATTGAAAAATGACCTAGAAAAATGCTAAAATTGTGGTTTTTTGGCATTTTTAATTGTTTATTTGCATTTTACGCTTAAGTAAGCATTTTATCGCAAACATCATAAATGAATGAAGACATAAGTGGATAAAGGCGTCATGTCACATTTTGTGAAAAAATGAGATAGTGCTATTTTTGGACTTTCCTGGTATATATACAACTTTTTAATTCGACCCTATTTTTAAAAATGTTAAGGTTAAAAAGATATTTGAGTGATAAAGGTATCATCTCACATAACTTCTACTAGATTTAGAGAATAGAGGTATTATGTCACATTTTTAGGACTTGACAACTTTATCCCCTAAAAATGAGGATGTTTCTTGTTCAGAGCTGGTGTAATGTCAAAATTTTGAGGTTATATTTATTATGTTTAACTAATAAGCAGTGCTTTCATGTTGTCTGTACTATTAAATAAATAAGTGTTTTGATAAAAAATAACTAACATTTTATTATGGGATCCAGAATTAAACGCATGTCTAAATTATTAGAAGAACAAAAGTCAACTTTTGTAAATATTGGTAAGCATGTTATAATGATGTTTCACTAACAGTGAATATTACATTTTGAAAAGTTCTATATTAATATTATAGTTGACATTTATATTGGTATTGAGACATTTTTTATTTACAGATAATACAAACAATAGTTTTCAAGATGTTACGTTCATTAGTGAGTATTCTCCATGCAGCGATGAAAACGATTCAATATAATAAAGAAAATTTAGAGGTTAAGCGTAACTGTTTCTTTACAAATGAAGCAACGTCACTCATCACCCAATAAACAAAATATACTACACGTCACTGCTAATGGTATAAGCAGACTTTTTAAAAACAAAGTTTACACAAAAACCAAAAGTACTCATCATCGTCATCGTTCTAATACACGATCATAAAAAAATTACACCTTCAAATATGGGATAACACACAATAAAAAGGTAATAACAGTGTGTAAAACTGCCCTTTGCTCTATATATGGAATTGGCCAGAAAAAAGTTAAAAGACTACAAAATTCACTAAAGCTTTGCCAATCTATACCGTCACCTGATCAACAAGGACGTCATGAAAATCATCCGCAGAAAATAAGTGATGATGTGGTCAACTGCATTGAAAGACATATACAAAAAGTTTCAGCTGAAAATTAGCATTATTCAAGAAACAAAAATGCTTACAAGAAATACCTTTCTCCTCCGCTCAATGTAAATAAACTGTTTATACAAGACTGTATAGAACAGAAGGTCCGACACAACCGTCTTTTACAGTTACTTAAAGATAAACACATAGACAAAAATGACTTAAGAATAATAACTCATCTCTACTTTAACCAAACAGTAAAAGTCAGAGTAGCAAAGAACTTTCGGAGGAAGTAGTGATAAAAAGAGGCGTAAGGCAAGGTTGCATACTCTCCCCCTTATTGTTCAATCTATATTCGGAAGAAATAATTTAAAAATCACTCGAAAATGTAAAAATTGGAATAAAAGTCAACGGCAGATCCACCAGCAATATCAGATATGCCGATGATACTATACTAATTGCAGAGAATATACAAGATCTACAGACACTCTTA